TGGTGTCGTCTATCTCACGCTTGCCCTGGTCGACGGAGCCTCGCCAGTGTTGCATGGTGGGCTACTGTCGTCATGAAAAGGTTGCTGTCGTTTAGGCCTTGGTCGACGAAGCTCAGCCGGTGTTACGTGGTGGGCTGCTGCCGTCGTGAAGAGGTTGTTGTCGTTTAGGTTGGTGTTGTGGGTAGTGGTGGCTTGGTGAACCGTGTGAAGGAGATGGTGGTGTATGAGGTAGATTGAATTAGGGGGAAGGGATTATTTATAAGGGTATATAGATCATTTATAATATCGGCCTCTATTTTTATTTTGTCAAATAGTAACTCCCTACAAAAAAAAAGGGATTTGTTAAACATCGCCCGCAAATTACTATATAAAGCCCACAAATATGACTTGGTGAGACATTATTGCCCTTATCATTTTTAAAAAAAAAACACTCTCTACTTCTCTCTAAAAAAAAAGAAAATCTACCACTCCTAAATACGACAATGTCTAGGCGGCAAGGGAAGGAGGTGGCGGCGGCGACGGCGGAGGAAAGGCGGCGACCTGGTGGCAAGGTAATTATTTAATATTTTTTTTTTAAAAAAAAAAAAAAAATAAGAAAACGGTGTCTGGTGGTGGGGCGTCTGGTCTGGCCGCCAGAGCCACTGGCGTGGCGTCTGGCTTGGAAGCCCAGCCATCAGGCCAGGCGTCCAAACCAGAAGCCACGCCATTGGCTGTGGCGGCCAAATCAGGCGCCTGGGCCATTGGCGTGGCTTTTGGTTTGGACGCCTGGCCTGGTGGCTGGGCTTCCAAGCCAGACGCCACGCCAGTGGCTGTGGCGGCCAGACCAGACGCCCCACCTCCTTTTTATTTATTTATTTTTTTTTATTTTGTTTTTGTGTATTTTGGTTTTAATTTTTTTTATTTTGTTTTTGTTTTTTCTGATTTTTTTTTTATTTTTTTGTTTTGGTTTTTTTTTTTTTTTTTTTTTTTTATTTCGCAAAATCAGAAATTTATTTTTATTTAAAATAATTTTTTGTTATGTCTAATTTTTTTTCGTTATTGTGTTTTATTTTTTTTTAAATATTTATCAACTTTATGTGTTTTTTTTAATAAGTCGTGTATATTTTATTTTTATAAAATCAGTTTTTTTTTTGTGTGTATGTTTTTTTTGTTTTGTGTTTGATGACTAAACATTTTTTATCCCTTAATTGATGTAGTATGTGGAAATTATTTGTGTTAATGTGTAATTGTTTTTTTTATTTATTTTTTTGTGTGTATTTATGTTTAATTATTTGAAATAATTTTTATTCTTTTTTGAAATCCTAAATTTTGTAATATATTAGGGTATTATGTGTGTATTTGTGTATGCCGTATAATATTTTTCTATGTTTAATTAGTTGAAATAATTTGAAATTTTTGTAACATTTCCTATTTATTTATTATGTGTTTGATTTTTTATAATCTTTATTAATTTTATGTTTATAAAAATGACGATATGTTGGAAGTGTTGGTATTTTGTATTTGTAGGTAGTTATTTATTTTTTTAAAAAACTTTTGTATGTTTATATATTTTATAATTTTTTGTAGAATTCACTGGGTCGTCAAGGTGCGGGGAAGAATCTAGCCATTCTTAGTAGAAGCTATTCAGTGGAGAGGTCGGGGGATAGACATGTTAGATCCCGTTTTATTTCGGCCTCGGCTCGTAGAGAACGAATCCACCGTCGGGATGAGGACGACGATGACGATGATGATGCTGAGGAGGGTGACCAGGAGGAGGAGCAGGAGGAGGGCGCATATGAGGATGAGGATGTGGACGATGGGAGTGGACCGTATGATGATTACGGTCCATTCAGTCAGAGGGTTGATGACATGTACGAGGCACATATGGTGGAGGTGCGTAAGGGTAGGGGTGGTAGGTTTGTTAGCAGATCTGGCACATCATCTGCGTCCACTGTATCTGGGGCAAGCAGGAAACGGTCGAGGGCCGTTAATGATTCTTGGGTTGTTAGGAGTGAGGTGCCCGGTGGGCCTGTTGACGGGAGTGTGATTCCTAGCTTTCTAGGACACATAGCTGCCCGTATTTGGGAGGACCAGGAGAGGCCTTCAGTTACGGGCTTGTTGAAATGTCATACCCGGGAGAAGACTTGTAGCTTTTTGCGTACATGGGCTGATTCTTGGCCGGTGGAGAGCGAGATGTTCGATCGATTGCAGGGCACTGGGGTGGGTCACGTTCCTGCGACCATGCACGATAAGATTGACACTACGCTGATCACGGCTTTCGTTGAGCGGTGGCAACCGGATACGAACTCTTTCCACCTTCCGTTCGGTGAGTTGACGATCATGTTACACGACGTCGAGGCCATTCTGGGGATTCGTGTTGAGGGTAAACGACTTTGTACTGTGGCTGATGCGGATCAGGCAGATATGCTGGCGGAGTTGTTGGCGGTGGACAGGGCTGCACTGTACACCGAGGCGCTTGGTGTTTGGGATCACGGCGGTGTGAAGATCGCATCCGTGTTGGAGCGGTGTTTGAACCCCGCTGCGCGTAGGACGCACGACGCACAGCTGGCCGCTCATTGTTTTCTACTCCTCGGATGTACCTTGTTTCCTGATAAGAGCGGCGGAAACAAGCTCAGGCCGCGCGACATAGCTGAGGCGTGTGACCCCGACGATCTAGGCCAGTATTCTTGGGGATCGGCTACGTTGGCGTATTTGTATCGCCAACTAGGATTTGCGAGTCGGGCTGACGCGGCAGGTATCACTGGGTGTCTGACTTTGTTGCAGACCTGGATCTACGAGTATTTTCCTGCATTGCGACCACATCGTGACCCAGTTCCCATTGATGAGGGGATGCCGCGTGCCTGTGCGTGGAGACCGCGCTCTGAGAGGAAGTCCGTTGACCGGCTCCGATCGATACGTTTGGTGCTCGGCAGTTTGTCCCCCTTAGAGGTAAAGTTTATATATTATTTCTACAGTTTTTCAGTAATGCATTTATTATATGAATGTTAATAACTTTTAAAATAATGTGCAGGTAAACTGGATGCCATTCGGCTCGAACCCTAGTAACAGGGTACCCAGGACCCTGTACACCGGCCTCATTCAGTATCGTGATATCGTGGAGGCGTACATGCCCCAGCGTTGTCTTCGCCAGCTGTACTTGTTTGTCTTGTACGTTGAGTCGATCAAAACCACAAATGGCCAAGAATTGATCATATCGGCACAATCAGGATGCACAAGGAAAAGATGAGTCACCTCCGCTGTATCTTCATCAGAATCAAACCAGAACAGGTAACCACGTGATTGTGCCTGGTGTAGCAGCTGCTGTATAGGGTTCCTTCCCTCTGACCGTTCAAACCTGAGTTGTTGTCTGACGTTGTAGATGTGTCTTCGGTTTGGATGGTCTTCTGGAAATTTCTCTAACACAGATGCTAATATTTTAGCAGGCTTGACTTGAGCATCACTCATTTCTTTCACAACTAATTTTGCAGCAGGACTTAAGCCGCTCAGCTGTCGATGACCCTCTTCATATACTATCATCTCATGGTTGTGATACCCCCATTTAGAGTAACTAATCACTTCCCAACCATCACGACTGCGGAGTTGTCGAACCTTTACTCTGAACTCACACCCACAACCTTTCCGCTTTGTATCAAACCGAGTGGCTGTACGGAAATCTCTTTCTTCTCTTTTGCGATAACGGTCGCATCTCAAAATGCGATCCATTCTACCATCCCGTTGAGATTTATGAGTTACTACTACCAAGCAAAATCCAGCTGTATTTGCAACCTGTTTTGCCCAATCAATCGCTTGCTGAGCATCTTCGAATGGACCATCATGTCCAAATATCCCACTGTAATCATTTCCGTCTCCACCATAATCCTGCATCAATTATATATTATAATAAATACGTTTAACGGATAATACATTTAATTTCTATATTTGCACAGAATTAACACATAATTAAAAACATAATTATGTATAATATTATTCATACACATACACATACAAATTTTAAACACAATCAATTATAACATTTACATAAACAATTAAATATTTTGATATACATTAACACAAATCTACTCACAACATAAATAAAAACATTAAATTACTAAACTTAATTTAAAAAAAACCGTTTTCAATTTTCAATTTGAAATAAATTAAAAAATATATATATATAAAACCATTTCCAATTTTTTTTTAATTCAATTTCGAATTGTCAAACTTAATTTTTAAAAAAACCATTCTCAATTTTCAAACTTAATTTTTTAAAAAACCCATTTCGAATATTCATACTTAATTTAAAAAAAAAACCATTTCAAATTTTCAGAATTAATTTTAAAAAAAACCCATTTCGAATTTTCAAATATAAAACAATTTCGAATTTTTCTAAAAATTCATTTTCGATTTTTCAAATTTAAAAAAAAAAAATAAAATAAAACAACAATAAAAAAAAAAAAGAAAAAAAAACAAAAAAAAAAAAAAAAGGGTGGCTGGCGTCCAGCTTGAAAGTCACCACCACCAGCCTGGCGCCTGGCTAGGACGCCGCAGCCAGTGGACTGGCGCCTGGCCAGGACGCCAGCCTAGTGGTTGTGGCTTCCAAGCTGGACGCCAGTGTGGTGGTTAAGGCGTCTGGCTTGGACGTCCATCCAACGGTTTTGGCGTCCAAACTAGGCGTCTGCGCCACTGCACGGCCACCTATTTCAGACGCCGGCACGTAAAACGTCAAATTTAACGGTGAATTACCTCGTTTTCCGTCGACGACGATGTACCTCCGCCGTCCCCCGCATCTCCGGCCTCCCCTCCGGTCTCCCCCGACGACCCAGTACGGCTCCACATTTTTTATTTTTAGAGATTTGTTCAATTTTGGAAAATGGGCATAAATGTCAAACTACGTCATATTTGTGGGCTTTATATAGTAATTTGCGGGCGATGTTTAGCGATTCACCAAAAAAATCACATGTTTCCCGTTGAATTGGGTAAGTGCACATTGAATAATTTCAAAACTCTTTGTTTTACAGTTGAAAGGGTTTTAAGCTAACCCTTAATTGTTTCAATCATACTCAAACTCTCTCTCCTCTTTTTGCCTCCTTTGTTTCGCCATGAACTCCTGACAAAATCCTACCTCTTCAAAACCCTCCAAAAACCCTCCACCTCAAAATTATTCACCCTCAAATTTCTTCAATTTTGTGAAAAAATTTAACCCCTTTTATAAATTATTAGCTACAAAACGGCGGGTTGTATTATCAGCAAAAGCCATAAGCTTTGCAGAGCTTCTGAAGCTTTAGCTATGGCGGTTTCTTCCCCCTTTAGGGCTGCTTATTCTCCTCCTCTTTTCTGGGTTTGCCCTCATTCTCTCTCTTCTTCCTCTTCCATGGTGGCTTCTCTTCGTCCTCGGTTTTTCTGCTCTAGAGCTGCTTATAAATGGTCAGTTTCTTCTTACCCCTTTATTTATTTTTTCTTAAAATTTTGTTTACAATGTTAATTTGTGTTCTAAAATTTTTGTGGGCGTTTTAGAGTTGTTATTTTTGTGGGTATTTTTAGAGTTGTTATTTTTTGTGGGGTTTTTTTTAGAGTTGTTATTTTGTGGGTATTTTATGTTGAAAGTGTTGTTTTTTTTTTCTCTTTAAATTTCAAATTTGGGTTGCATTGTACTATTATTTTAATGGGGGTCATTTATGCTTGTTTCATACTGAATGCATTTCTCAGGTTCCAAGACTACCAACATACTGTGGTTATTAATTGGAGTACTTTTTATAATTGAGTATTTTTTTTTATTACTAGCATGCTTAAAGATAAGAAAAATGGAAAAAAAAAGCTTTGATGTCAATCAGCATTAGTTCAAATTTAAATTTAATTTGGTGGGTAGGGAGGGGGAGGAGAATAGGAGATGATAGGGTGGAATGAGTTTTGTAGGAAGAGAATGTAAGACATGGATAAATCTAAAGGCCGAAACAGGTGGTGCTAATTCATGGTGGAGTCAGAGTGGTGGTGTTGAAGCTATGGGTGGAGTATGATATAAATTGGTGGTAATTTTTGATTGATTGCTATTTAATGTTGTTAAAAGGGGATGCCAATGCTTAATGAGCCTTGCACTTTCTAATTTGGTACATTTTTGAGGTAGAGTGAATGGATTGGGTTTCATTTAGTGAAAAGAACCATTTTAAAGAGACATAATACTTGGCCATTGGTTGGTGACGGGTGAATGGTGTCACGGATTTCTTGGTTTAGCGACCCCAATATTTATTGGAAGGATATTGGGAATAAAAAAGTATCCAATGAATGGAAGAGTTGTAATTTTGACAGATCAATTGACTTGGTGTTAATTTGAGTTTTACTATGGAAATGAAAGTGTCATATTTGGAAGGGTTAGGATAGTGTTACTAGTGTAGGGTGGGAGATTATTCCTTGAAATTTTGACACAAATTAGAGTGAGGATATTCTAACTTGCATTCTAATTCATTGCCACCTCCGGTCGAGCGAAACAGGTTTCTTATGCTAGAAGAACCATCTCTATTTCTTGAGTGATAGACTGATAGATGGAGTGCTTGTTGATGCCTAACTGAAAAAGGGTTTCTTAACTAGAAAAAGGGTTTATTTCTTTTTGTGGAGCCCCCTTCCTCTAGTAGAAGCTCCTACTTGTCTATTTAATTAAATTTTTGTTTGGTTTTGCTATTACCTAAATACTGAATTAATAATGTTATCACAGTTCTCCAACATAGCCATCAAAAAAATAAGTTTTCTAACATAATAGAAAGAGTTTTTTAGTGTAGTATTCATCTATATCATGTCTGTTGCTTAGAAGTGCTTTTATTAGCTTACAGGAAGGAGTTTCATCGTCTTCAGAATCAATATGGGATTTCACATGATGATGAATTGTTCAAAGTTGTGCAGCTAAGACAGCCTGAACCAATGTTTTCTACAGGGCAACATGCTAACTCAACCAGATATAATGGTGTGCATTTGTTGTCTTTGTTTTATACTTCATTTTGCCTGAAGAGAATGCCACTTTTACTTTTATAGGTTGTTTCTTTGAAGAACACCCTTTTTGTTCCTTTCAGTTTCTTGTTATAATTGTACTTATAATGCTTTTAGATGATGGCCTCTTTACAAAAAGGCTCTCTTCAGCATTGACTCCGATCTTTCTTCTACGACTCATTGTCTTCCTTGCTTGCAAGATGCTTATATTCGTTATCATAATGCTCTGATTCTGTTTCATGTGATTCAAGGAAAATAATTACACTATTCTCCATTGATTTGGATTCAATGCCTCCATCATAGGATATCACCACAAAACAGGGAATCTGTTAACCATAAAATAGACGAATATGTCAAAGGGTGACTATGAGAAGTTGAAATAGGATTTCAGGGCCGTTAGTTATAATTATTGCAGTTTGGTGGTTATGAGAATAGTGCCTCCATGTGGTGACTTTTGCTCACAACCCATATTATATTATGCAAGTGAAAATTATAATTATATGTATAAAACATTATTGTAAAATTAATAGAATGAAAGTACTTCTGTATTGCATTCGAATATGTTATTTCAGACATCAGTGGCCAAAGTGTGTAAACTTTGAATCTAGGAGACATACAATTTCGTATTGGGATTTTTAGAATATTTTCTTAACATATTGTTTTAAATTATTGAAATTATTTGAAAATGCCATTAAGGGAGAGCCTTTTCAAATTGGTTGTGCTTCCTTTTTACAAATAATTCTTCTTTAACTCACTTCCAATTTGTTTAAAACCAAAACTAGGGTCTTTGAACTTTTTGCACTGAAAAGCAGTTCCTAAGTTGTGCTTGGTTTTCACCCAGTGCCGTTTTTGGAACAGAGATTTTTTGTCATAGTGAGATGTAAAGTTGTAAACTCTATGGATGCTGATCTGATAACTTCCTGTTTCTCTTAATGCAGGGACGTTTGTGAGGCAATGGAGATCTGGAGAGTCTGCCCAACCAAGAGTGTCGAGACACACTGACAAAACTGTTTGGGCTCAAGAGACTTTTAAGGTGAAGAAGAGTAAAATGGGCTTTAGGCATGGTGTGATGGAACTAGAATTATTACCATCCAAGGAAGCCACAGAAAATCGCGGTCATAACTCAACAAGCGATAACTTGAATGGGATTCCTGGGTTTACCGGTATTACTTCTGCTACAAGCTCCCCACGTTTTGCAACCACCACTGTTGATGTAGAAGCAGACTTAGATCAACTTCAGGAGACATTTGGTGAAACACTGCATGAATTTGATGGTAAATGCTCTTCTACTTTTTTGTTATTTGTGTTTCATCTCTATTGTGATTTTGTTGTTCCCAAGTAGAACAATGGACTCATGATGTAACAATGTGCCTGTTAATCTTGGACAGATGTTGCTAGAAGAGCCCTTTATGCTAATGGCTTATCATCACGAAAAGATGTAGCTGGTGAACTTTTATCTAATGAAAGGAATGATGTGAGCTTGAAGCCTGCTACAGAGAGCAAAAAATCTGTCAGGAAGTCGAAAAAGACTTTGTCTACCAATGGCGCATCATCAGCAAAAGAATTGGACGAAAGCTCCTTAAATCAGGGAATAAATGGTGTACATGAGAAGTTTTCTGAGCTTGATATTCTTGATGGTGCACAAACGGATGATCAACTAAAACTTCAAATGAGGCTCTGCAGCATCTTTGACAAAGTTCTTGTAGTTGATAATGTCACCATCGCTAGGAAAGTTGTGCATAAGCTTACACATGAGTATAGACATCACGTACATGCATGTGATACCGAGGCATGTTTGCTGCTATTGAAACTTTATTTTTGGGGAATAGAGGGGGGGGGGGGGTGGGGGGATATTTTGCTATGGAAGTGTTTTTTTCTCCCCCTTATGTTATCACTTTAGTTTATTAGCGTGCTGGGTATTACTGTTAAGAACAGGGGAAGTTTACCTGTTACTTGCAGGGTTATGGCCGAGGAATTGAAACACATTAATTTTTGATATGATAATTATATTAAAGGGAAAACAATATGCAGGTTTACTAGCTTTCATTTGAAATTTGTACAACGTTTCAGTCTTTCTTGATGTCTATGTGCAGTATATATAAGTTTTGAGCTGAATTCTTTAATGCTGGTTATATTAATTAATATACATTTGTATCATGATAGGTGTCCAAGATTGATGTGAAGCAGGAGACACCTGTAGATCACGGGGAGATAATATGCTTCAGTATTTATTCTGGCGAAAAAGTGGATTATGGTAATGGGAAAACTTGTATATGGGTAGATGTGCTAGATGGTGGCGGAAATGATATTTTGGCTGAATTTGCTCCATTCTTTGAAGACTCGTCAATAAAAAAGGTGAGTATTTCCTAGATCAATTAGTATGGCATTTTGTCACTTCAAAAAGATTTATGAAGCCATGACACAAGGATTCTTTTACATTTGTCTGATACTCTGTCTGCACATTTATTAGCTGGGTTTGAAGCAAATCATGTCACTGTAATTCTGACCTGTTTGTTCATCATCAATGTCTGTCAACAAATTGATAATATTAGATTTCTTACAGACAAATTTTGGTATCATCTTACAAAGATATGCAAGCATGTATTTCAGTATTTGGCGACTGGTTATGCTGCTATTTTTCACTAGGAAGAATATATATGTTTCATCTCATTTACACAAATTTTTATTTGGCTTGACCATGTAGTCAGACTCTTTTTCCATTCGTTTTAAGAAATCTTAATTCTTGTATAATTTTGGATGGTAAGTCTTCAGTCTCGGAGAAAATGAAGGATGGAAAATCAATAGGTTAAGAATGTTTTGTAGTATGTATTTGATTGACATAAAGCAGATAATGGTTCTTTATGCTTTACTTTGTCGATTTGAGAAGGATGTATTTATCTGGAATCTGGTGTATATTGCGGTATCCGCTAGCCTGTCATACCTACCTAGGTCAACTTTTTTATATATTCGACTGATTTTTAGCTACTTTGTGTAGGTGTGGCACAATTACAGCTTTGATTGCCACGTTGTAGAAAACTATGGGATTAAACCTTCTGGGTTCCATGCTGATACAATGCACATGGCACGATTATGGGATTCTTCTAGACGAGCAGATGGTGGCTACTCTCTTGAAGCATTAACAGGTAATCCAGATGTAATGTCTGAGAGTACTATGTGCCAAGAAAAAGATCTGATGGGAAAAATTTCAATGAAATCCATATTTGGCAAGAGAAAGGCAAAGAAAGATGGGTCCCTGGGTAAAACTGTCTCTCTTCCTTCAGTTGAAGAGCTGCAAAGGGAAGAAAGGCTACCATGGATATGCTATTCTTCTTTAGATTCCATGAGTACTTTAAAGCTATATGAGAGCTTGAAATCCAAGTTATCAAAAATGCCATGGATTATGGAGGGTAATTATAGGGGGAATATGCTTAATTTCTATGAAAACTATTGGCAGCCCTTTGGCAGACTTCTCGTGCAAATGGAAACAGAAGGTATGCTAGTAGACCGAGCATATCTCTCAGAGGTGGAGAAGGTGGCTATTGCTCAACAACAAGTTGCTGCTGATCGTTTTCGGAACTGGACTTCTAAGTATTGCCCTGATGCTAGATATATGAATGTAGGTAGTGATGCACAATTGAGACTACTCCTTTTTGGTGGAATATGCAACAGGTATTTTTTTTGGTATCATAAGCTTGTCTTTATAGCTTTTTTATTCATCCTTTTTTTTTGGTGAAAAGGGTATTGGTCCAGTCAATGCTGCGTGTAGGTTGACAGGATGCTATATGCCTTTTGTCACCCCCTCCCCACCCCACGGGAAAGTCCTGATTCTAAGGAATTTGCTTGCTGTGATAGTCAACACCAAGTTTGTTCCGTAAATGTGGTATTTTTTGCTTTGCTTGATAAGTGGCATATATATAATAAAAAGGCATTTGTTCTTGAATCTTGGGTTTTATCTGAAAAGTGTTAAAAAAATGAATGATACACTAAGGTCTGAGGAATTCTTCAAGCTATACTGATGTTGTGAGATCCAAATTCTTTTTTGTTATAAAAGTACATTGTACTCTATATTGGGAGACATTCTTTCCTTTGAAGCCTATACACACTCCTGTTATATTGATATTTCTTGCACATTCTTTAATTAGATTGTGTCTGGAAGGCACTTGATGCTTTAGATCTATGTTAAGATAAGATAACCATATTTCTTTCTTAGATGTTGTGGTTAAATATCTTTCCTACATATAACAACTATTGTCTGGTTGGTGCCTTTGCAAATAACCGGTTCTAATATGTTTTCCCTTCTTTATTTCCTTTACCTGGATATATCTGAAATTTATTTGTATTTTCTAAGTATTGGTGCCCGAAGAAATTAGATTGCACTTTGCATCTTCCCTTAACTTTAAGGATACCTCCATTTTTTCCGCTGAATCAGCCATATTGCAGATGGAAGTAAGAGTTGGCTGGCAGGACATCATTTTATTGCAATTTCTTTTAAGCCTTCAACAACTCCATTTTTGTTCTGTCCATAATCTCCAAGTAATTGCTAAAGGGTTCAACTCCTTATTTTGTCACAGTTGCTTTTCATCATTTACCAAATTGCATGAACATGCTCCATATGTAGAGTACAATTGTAATAGTGAAGAAACAAACAAGCCTCATTAAGTTGTAGATAGAAAAAAAAGATGAACTAGTATTTGGGTCCAGACTTTTGGCCATATAGGTGCTAATGGGAGCATAGGAGAAAATATGTTATTGGAGAAGAATTATCATCTTTCACAATCCTCAAACCTGTACTGCTCTGATAATCTTGTATATATGGTGATATTTACTTGGTGGGTCTTGTATTGTCTTTTTACTAGGTTATTAATGATGCTGTTTTCACTATTTCTTGCTTTTTAATGATAAAGAAGATTGTCATTGAATAAATATGGTCCTAAACTTAAAGTACGTGCTGGTTTGCTGTAATATAACTGTAATGATCTTGTTGTGAGGATATTAGGGGCTTTGATTATCTTACTAAAGCACAGATTTTCTGCAGAGGCTTACTTTCTTGCTATTCTTACAGGAAGAACCATAATGAGTTTCTCCCTACAGAGAAAAAGTTCAAAGTCCCAAATACTGAAAATGTAATTGAAGATGGAAAGAAGACTCCTAAAAAGTATTGTGACATTACATTGCATAAAATTGGTTCTAGTTTACAAACTGACTTTTATACGGCAAGTGGTTGGCCTTCTGTTAGTGGAGATGCCTTAAAAGCTATTGCTGGGAAGGTCTCTGCTGAATATGATTTTTCAAGTGACGATGTTGAAGATCCATTGAATGACGATCTACAAAACTCGGAAAGAAAAGATGTTGACATTTCTGCTTATGGAACTGCTTATGCTGCTTTTGGAGGAGGGCAGGAAGGAATGGAGGCCTGCCATGCTATTGCCTCTTTGTGTGAAGTTTGCTCCATTGATTCGTTAATATCCAATTTCATTCTGCCTTTGCAGGTATACATACACACAGAATCCCCCCCACCTGCATACTTTCTTATCTTCTTATGTGTCTGTGCGTGCATGTATGCATACGTAAGTATGAAGGAATTGTCAGACATTGGAATATATATAGAAAATGCTCCTTTAATTTCTTGCAAGAAGCTCATCACTTAAGTGTTACATGCAAGCTTTTAAGAAACAACATATTTGTGTAGAAATGAATTTAACTTGAAGTTTGGGCTAGTAATAGGGCTTTTATAAGACAATAAATTGCTTTCAAACCATGTCTTGGGCCTCATTATTTGATACTCCTCTCCCGTTTTTTTAATGACATTTTACTTTAACCTCCAATTTTAATTTTAATTTAATTTTAATTTTTTTTAAATGACACTCTCTTTTTTGAAAACAGTATACCATTTTTAATCATATTTTTGTCTGTGTAAAAAAAAAACATATAGTTGTCACTTTTGGTCCCCATTATTACTTTCTAAATTATTTCTCTCTCCTCATGCTCCCCGGTCCAACATTATTTATTATTTATCTTATCTCACATCGTAATATTCAACACTCCAACGAACCACCCTACCCATATGCCCTATGTATTTCTCCTAAAACTCTGTACGGAAGCTAGTGTGTCAATTTAAGCCTACTTTATCTAGAAGAGCTTGAGTATGAAATCTTACTCCCTGACTTCTATGCTCAAAATAAAGTTGGATACGTTCAGTTGGGATTGGAAACTTATGAAGTTCAGTTGCACTATTCTGCTTTGAAGCTATTTCTGTAGTTGTTCCTATTATCATCTTGATTTTGCTTCGTAGAAGATTGTGCCTGGACTTTGGAACATCTTAACATAAGAGTATCATGCAACTTAATTGTTGGTAGGAATGTTGATAGTGTGGTGCGCTGTCTCCCAATTTCTTTTTTCTTTTTTATAGTCGGTGATAATATTATTTAATTAAATAAATTGTACTAGTAATTGGACCTGGATATTTTTAGCTTTAAAATCCGGGAATCAACTTATGGAGTTGAATGTGGTTTTAATCAGCCTAGGGACCGTCAAACCTTTTATTATTCTCCAGTTGTCTGAGTGTGCTAAGGTAAAACGAAGGATGCCATAAATCTGACTGGCAAGATTGATTAAACATGAGGTGCTCATGAGCTGTTTGTAGAACAGTAACAGGTCATAGTCTCATAGACCTTCCCTTCATTCGATATTGTTGCGAGTTGTAAAGGATTTAGGACTTTGAGAGCTAATCACTAATAATATCTGAATTGTATATTATGAAATAAATTGGCCATTTCTAATTCAAGGTCTGTGGATCATGTCTGAACATTTCTGCTCTGCATCTCAGGGAAGTCATGTGTCTGGGAAGAATGGCCGAATTCATTGCTCCTTAAATATAAATACAGAAACCGGCCGCTTGTCTGCTAGAAGACCGAATTTACAGGTACTCATTTTTCATATGATGATATCTGAGTTTTTTTGTAGAAATGTAGAATGTTTTAGGGAGAAGATTTTTGGCCATGTTTTGTAGTATTTGCTTGTCAAATTAGCAGTTACCAAAAACTCTATTTAGATATTTTTGCGTTTAATAGCATTGATATTTCTTTACTGTTCTGTAAATATAGTTTTCATTGTATAGTTTGGAACACGCTGCGTATCTCAACTTTGCTAGGTAATGTCTATATTATAACTGAAGCCAAATCTTTTCTGTTAAGTATTTTGAAATTATAGTGAATTTGTTTGCCATCCATCAGAATCAACCTGCTTTAGAGAAAGACAGATATAAGATCCGCCAAGCATTTGTCGCTTCCCCTGGAAACTCACTTATTGTTGCAGATTATGGGCAGGTTGGCCTACTGTCTTTGATTTTGTTTTATTTATTATATATATATATATGTGTGTGTGTGTGTGTGTGTGTGTGTGTGTGTGTGTGTGTGTGTGTGTTTTGATACTACTGAAATTTCCAAGTTATGATTTTGCATTAATCTTGCTTCCCTTGGAACAGCTGGAACTTAGGATTCTTGCACACCTTGCTGATTGTAAGAGTATGAAAGAAGCATTTGAAGCTGGTGGAGATTTCCATTCAAGAACTGCTATGAATATGTATCCATATATCCGGGATGCCGTTCAACAGGAAGAAGTAATTCTTGAATGGCATCCTCAACCTGGTGAAGAAAAGCCTCCTGTTCCTCTACTCAAGGTACATTAAATTCCAACCTTTGTTTTAATATTTCAATAAAGGGGTTGACTATATGGAAATTACTGGAACATCTTGAATACGGGTGTGAGTAGAAATTATAAGATTATTTTCTTATTTAAGAAATGTTAACGTTGGACTACTTATCTGGAATGACTGCTTTGCTCTTTAATTATTGTGTATTCCAGATTTCCAGTTGGGTTAACTCATGTTTCTAGTTACTTGGGATAGCCAACTTAGCTTGCCCTTACTTTTATAAGAAACAGTCTCCCTAATTTAGTCATTAGCCTTGTCAAAGTGAGCCTTATCTGTGATCTTTATGAATTTCTATCTAGGTTACCTCAGAGTTCTGATTAATCCTATGATTGTTGTTTCAGGATGCTTTTGGGTCTGAAAGAAGGAAAGCAAAAATGCTGAACTTTTCCATTGCATATGGGAAAACTCCCATGGGTCTTGCTAAAGACTGGAAGGTATATTTTCTAGCTTCTCTCTGCATGGTCTGGTGTAGTACATTGATATTACTCCCTCTTTCTCAATTTATTTTTCTCATAGCCATTTGCAGTTTTGCACAAGATTTTATGCAAGTGATAAAGTAGAGAGAGAAAAAATAAGGTGGCTGAGAGTGGGACTCAACTCGAGAAAAATTAGAGAAAAAAAAAAATCTTTAAAAGGCAAGTAAATTGGGACTCCCCTGATTAGAAATGTGGCAAGTAAATTGGGACAGAGTATAATCATTTGTTTTAATTATATTCGAATGTCTGTAGCAAATTGACTAGGTTCAAAATATGCCCTTTTATCTGTAGCAACTGACTAGGTTTGAACTATGCCTTGTGCCCAAACTTGTAAGTGATTCTTGTTTAGTAACTGTGCTCATCTGCTCTAGGTTTCTGTTAAAGAAGCAAAGGAAACTGTTGATTTGTGGTATAAAGAACGTCAGGAGGTTCTAAAATGGCAAGAAGCACGGAAGAAAGAAGCTGCAAAACGTGGTTGTGTTCACACCCTGCTAGGGAGAGCTCGTCGCTTCCCTTCAATGGCTCATGCTTCACCCCCACAAAGGAGTCACATTGAGCGTGCTGCAATCAACACGCCAGTGCAGGTTCTTTTCTACGTGTTCTACTTATATGTTGATTTATTTGTTTCTCATGTATTCCCATCCATCTACTGTCGAAAATGAAATAGTTATTTATTTATTTATTTATTTATTTATTTTTTATACCTTGTCTAAATTATCTATGCAGGGGAGTGCTGCTGATGTTGCCATGTGTGCCATGCTGGAAATAGATACAAATAATCGTCTGAAAGAGCTTGGTTGGAAGCTGCTTTTGCAGGTTCAGTTGGTTTTCTCAACTTATTTATTTCTCTCTCTTTTTTTCTTTCTGTTGGTCTGCATTTTTGTTGCTCCATTAGAGTTGTCAAAAACATCAAATTTGCTGTCCCTCTAGGTTTTCAGTTTTTAATCTTTTTATACTTCCTCCGTTCTCCTTTAGTTGCATTGTTTTGACTTTTATGCTTGCCAATGCATAATTTTAACCCTTTATATCTCTAGTTATAGATAATGAAAGAATATAAAAAATTAATATTAGTGAAAATATAATTTGAGACGAATTTATCCAGATCCCATATGTCTATATTTTGCCTAACATGTAAAACAATAAAGGTGGTCAAATGAGAGAATGTGAATAGTGCAAATTTCCAATGTTGCAAATAAAACAGAACAGAGAAAGTACTTTCTCCAGCTTCGAATGCTTGATGTGTTATAATTATAGTCTTTTTTATTTGTTGCTACTAAGTAGTTGATGTTTTAGAGTGCATTCACTTAGAATGATAAAAGCATGGCTCTTTTTTTACATTACAGTCCCAATTATATTCTAACTACTCAAATCTCCAACCCTGTATGAAGCAAGTATAAAGGAAAGTGGAAACAATTACTGTATTTGGTTAGGAAGAGTGTCTATAGGATAGAAAACTTACCCAGATACAATTAACCTTAATTAACCCTTAAACATAGGGAATAGTATTGTAATCGATGCATGTTGGCGGGAATTTTTTTATTTACACTATCAATGCAATGAGTGTCTCATACAACTTTTTCCATAGAGCGTCCTCTAATGATATGGGTACACTTCTGTAGTTTTGTGTTGCTTGAATCCTCAACCTCGTTAAAGAAATGTGTATCCTACCGTATACTAATCGGATATATAATGTGGTTTAAACAAATAATAAGTACAATATATAAAATAGGTTAGACCAACAACTGAGAGAAAACAGTATGCTTTTTTCCACCCTTCATTTTGGGCTTGTACTTCTAGAATGATAATTTATCACTTCCTCTAATGACAATCACTCAACACTTGTTCCTTTATCCAAAACTTGCACTTCTTAAGGCTGCATTGGAGTACTGCCTGCATATAAGCATTTATTACATGTAAATTGGTGTTAATTTTTTTTTTAATTAAATATATCACGTTTGGATGAATGTAATCAATGTTCGACTTAGCTTAATGTTTTCACTTTTAACTCCTTTTATGTAGCCCTTAGGATTGTATATATCATATCATTTGTTATAAACATATCCCTGTTAGATCCTGTTTATCATTTGTTATAAACAAATCATTTGTTATAAACATATCCCTGTTAGGTCCTGTTCTCTTTTCTAGATTTAACTAGAGTAAAATTATTTTTAGTGGTTGAACTGATACTTTCAGATTTCTACTGACTTTTAGTGAAATCTCAATATTTTAGAGACTAGGGGCCTTGGTGACTATGCCTCGTAAGTTCCATGTGATCTAAGAATTGAGCTAGAGCAATTATTGCAACTTTGCAAATCTTCAATGGTTTCACAATCGTCTATATAAAATGACGCTTTGGCCTGCCTTAAAAAATTTGGCCATTGGAATTGACCATGAAATGTGCCTTCTTTCCTTAGGTTGGAACATGATAAACAGTTTTTGAAAAGTAATTGAAAAAAATGAGCCGTAATATGATTCATCATAGCTATACTATCTCTTTAAAAGGTGTAGCCTTTGACAAGGCTGCCATAGTGCATTGTGGATTCTTCATCTAAAATAATGGCATTTAACACAAGATATGGAAATGTCATTACTCATTATAATATCCAGATGTCCGTAGAGGTATCACCAATACTTGAACCCAAAACCTTGTACTTATGGCAAGCTTCAACCATCAATCTAATGAAAGAAGTGATGCCTTTTGGCTCAAATAAACAGTATAAATACTACTTGTACATAGTAATATGTTTAAATTATCTATGACAAAGAAAGGAGAGTAGGACCAATGTTAAGACATTATTACATTCACAACCTATTTATACAACCACCTCCTCACATCTCTTCATCTTTGTAAGTAGTAACCACTCCTGCCATAATATCTAGCCTTATTATGGCATGATTACCTCATTATGATACCATACTATGGAGTGATATTACAACAATGATAGCACTGGATAAAAGTGACGATTTTGAAATTTAATGTAATAGCACTGGATCAAACACTATTATTACATAATATGCTGTCTTTTGAAGTTCCATCAGAATTTAAGTGGAATATATATAATGTCCCTTTTCAATATGTTCACAAGATTGTCATTATCCCAATGTGCTGAAAATTGCTACTTAGCTCATGAATACGTTGGATACAATTTTTATTTGCACCAATTTGTGTTTCAACCTCAAACGGGCCTTTATGTGATGAACAATTCTTAATGTTTTAGAAATTGCATAGACTTATAATTTATAATGTTTTCTGAAAGCAGGTTCATGATGAAGTGATATTAGAGGGACCTTCAGAATCAGCAGAAGAAGCAAAGGCTCTAGTAGTTGAATGCATGTCCAAACCTTTTAATGGGAGAAACATTCTCACAGTTGAGCTTGCTGTTGACGCCAAGTGCGCTCAAAATTGGTATGCAGCCAAATAAGAGGCCGCTTCTATTTTTGGTCAATTGGTTTATGGTTCCAAAGAACCCTCAACAGGACTCACTCGGGCTGCCGGTTAGTTGTCGGCACTTGGTTAAATCGTATGATCTTATGGGCCATTTTTGTGTAATAGTTGGCCCTGGGTTTCCTGCAAGTGCTTGCCATGGCATGGCACTTCGAGCCATCGGGCTGATTTTCCATGTTTGGATTTTGATGCAATGACAACGAGTTTAATCAACAATTGTATAGCATATTGGAGAAGGTGTAAGTTGATTAAACTCTTTGGTGTATGATAGAATTTGTAGGGAAGGATGGGGGTTGTATGTAAATTTGTCTTGTGTATATAAGAAACTGTGACAGCTACTTCTGCGGTTGATTAGTAATGCCCTTGTTATGTGTAGAGATAGGACTTGTTCCTTTCCCTCGTGTTATCCGCTGATTCATATTATGGGACATTAGACTTGTAACATTCATATTTATAACTTGTTTTCTTCGACTTATCTCGGAACTTGTTACATTATCTTGTTAGTTCAAATCGCCTTTGATTGAATTCACATTTATTTAATACTCCCTACTAAGTAGTAAAATTGATTTGCTAAATTAAATTATGAGAACTGCTTATATTGAAGTAGGGGATGTAATTGAGCCGATATTTTCACGAACCAACTCTATCAAAGCTTGGTCAAAGTTGTTTGTTAAGCAATAAACAAGCTTGAACAAAATCTTAAGTTTGTCAAATAAGTGAACAAAGCTTGGACAACATAATGTTTGACTCAATAATACTTGTGAACAACTCGTTTCAAGCTCGAAAAATCTCTAATATATTAAAACTACTTTAATATATTTATATATGTCTTTTACTCATACATCCTACCTTATAAAAATTTTGAGTCAACTCTTATAAATAATGTTGAACGATTAATACCCTTTAAAATGTTTATTATTTAATTGCCTTCATTAATGTTACTTGTCTATTTTTTGATCTCTTAAAAATAGTATGCTTACTTTTTTACCCCTAAAAATATTTGTTTATATAATTTCTCTCATTAATCTTACCGATAACTAAAGTTGTGGCATAAGGCTAAATTGAAAAAACTTCCTAGACATGGCTAGTTATAATGCGCTCATCGTGCTTGTTAGCCACCCTAGTTAGAAAAAAGTTGTAACAATTTATCAGAAAGGGTGAAAATCCCCAAAAGCATAATGTAGTCGTCGAAGGAGTAGCAGGATAAAACGATCGTCTCCTTAAGAAGTGGGTTGATTCTTCTTCTTCTTCTTCTTTTCTCTGTCTTCTCTTCCTTTGCCTTCTTCAAAGATAATGCCTTCTTTTCTCCTATTAACTTCATGCATTCCTCCTCTTTTCTCCTCCAGTGTGGTTCCTCGAATCCTTCTCTTCTTTCCACTGCATAGCAAGCTTCCCTTGGCTCAAACCTACATCCAAGACACACATACAAAGAAAACTAAAGCAAGTAGAGAAAATATGCATAATGAAGTGAATATCCTCTAAATGCATTTTAAATATTCTTAAATACATGAATCCATATCTTAAATAAGCCTAATAAGTGCGTATAAAACTCACTTATCATTCATAGTCAGCAATAATCTCTTTGGAAAACATTTCTTAAGAAATAATTTTAGACGTATGCAAAAGTAGGGACGGATCCAGGAATTTAGGAATAGGGGTACGAAATTAACCTTAATAAAAATACAAAGTAATATGTGAAAAATTATCATTTTTTCAAATCTAAAATATGATGAGTTATTAATGCATTTTACTATTGTATTAGTCTTTGTGTATACGATATATGAGTTCTCCGGCAAGAATATGTATAAATAAGGTCACTATAAAAGAAGAATAGTTGTTTGAAAAAAGAATTATCTTAAGAGATCCTGTTATTTGTGATAACAGCTCTCTTTTTCTCGAAAAAACTGAATAGCGGACGAAACAATACAAAGTTACAAACCATGAAACCATATGTATCTGAGAGACCAGGCCTTTTAAAAGAGGTCTCTTTGATTTTAACATAAAGTAATGCGCGTGCTGGTTTTGTGGGTTGGTTTGTGTATAACAGACCCTAAGAGACCAGGTCTTGAATAAGTGGTCTCTTTGTTTTTTTATAAAAAGTAATGCGCGCACTGGCTTGGTGGGGGGTTTGTGTATAATAGACCCAAAGAGACCTTCTTTATGATACAGGCGGTCTCTTTTATATCATTTATTTTATTTTATTTTATTTTTTTTTGGGATAATGGGGGTACAGTTGTACTTCTGTGTACCCCAGGATCCGCCACTGTGCAAAAATCCTTTGAAATTTATTCATTGTATAATAGTCAATAGTAATAGGCTCATTAGCTCACGATTTTCTATAAATTACAATATTAAGTATTAACCACTCCTTCCATTCCAAAATGAAGGATCATTTCTATTTTCATAGTCAAACATCAAAAATTTTGAACAACAATTATCATTAATATATGTATTTCAAAACATAATCAATAGAGATCTTGTTAAATTCGTTAATTTTATAATACTAAATTTGGATAATGTTGAGTTAGTGTGTTCATGCGATTCGGGTCAGATTATTTTTAAGTTTGGGTCACTACAAAACTAGATTATTTATTATTTCGGGTTAGAGTTGGGTTTGTCTCGTGTCATGTTCAGTTTAGGTCACCTCGATTCAATTTGTATCATCAGTTTAAAATGTGTTCAAATAAGTTTACTTCGATTTCAAGTCAAGTTAAGATTAGTTGAATATCAATTTAGGATAAAATAGTGATCGAATTACTATGAATTTGGGTTGAGTTTTAATTGTATATGTCTCGAATTGTGTCAATTTCGGATCAGGCGATTCATGTGTTAATTTTGGATAGGCAATGCCTCGGGTTCGGGTGAAGTTAGGATTCTAGGGTATGGGTCAAGTTCGGACAATTAGTAATTGCATTAAGTACGGTTTTACATGATTATGTTACTGTAAATTTGTGTACATCATATTGTGTTGTCCTAATTAAGGAAATTACAATTTTATTTAGGTTTACTTGTGTCAGATTAACAATAAGTCGAATTAAATTCGATCTAAGTTAAATTGGATCGTTTTTTAGGATGATCTTGGGTAAGATTTGAATCGGATTACCATTTGAATTCAGGATTGAGATGACTTAGGTTAGGTCTAGGACCATGCGGGCTAAATCAGATCTCAAGTTATATTAGGTTGAGTTAAACAGGATCTTGGGTTATATCGGGTCGGATCGATTGCAGTTGTTTTCGGGTTAAGTTAGGATTTGGATGTTATCGATGAGATGTTGATTCGATTTAATTAATACATATCGGATCCTAATAGGTATTGGGTTTCCTTGGGTCAGTTGTGGATCGAGTATGGGTCTTCAATTCTCGAGTTAAATTGAATATTTGGTAAACATCTGATCGACAAGGTAGGTTTCGAGATCTATATTCTTCTTATGTACAGGTCGGATTTCATTGGTTTCGATCAGTTATTCTAATAGGGTCAATTTTTGACAACCTTTTTATTAGGTTTATTATTATAAGATAAATCTAAAAGACTTAAGTTTAAAAACACAATTACTCCATTATTTTCTATTGCAAGTGATATTATATATTAAGAGTTTAAATACTCAATTACTTTATCATTATAAATTAATATAATTCGAATCTATAATCTAACACGAAAAAATTATATACACAGTATATAATATAAACTTAAGTAAGTACAAATGTAAAATAGAATAACCTAAAAGCTCAAGGGCATTGAAATCATTTTAAGCGGTACATATACATGGTGTATGACTTCTCTAGTGACCTTCTTATATCCACTATAATCAGCTCTTTCATATGATTGTACACCTTATTTTCACCCTAATTATTAAGATACATAAAAAATAATTTGTCACTTATAGTTTTCCACTTCACGAACAATACAACATGACTTAATGATCTCTTTATATACTTTTTTTCCACTTTTGGTTTCAGCCATCACTCTCATATCTTTTTTCAACTAAAGTCATGGTTGTATCAACTAATAATCCCCTATAATTAAATATACAATGTTTCAATTTATTTTTCAAATTCTTTACACATTCCCTTATATTAACACCAACACCTCGATCGGGTCAATCATTTATTAAACACACCAATATAAATAAAATTACATAACAACTGAAATTTTTCATTTCTTTTTCAAAAATCTTTCATTCCTTATTCAAACACCATAACTGATGTTTCGTCATCGAATAGTTGTGATACTATTATCCATTCATGTTTCGTCATTGATATCATAACTCTATTAAAATTGATATCTTACTATTTTGTCTAACAATTAATTATGTTCACAAAATATCAAGAGTAATTCTTTACAAACATTAAATTATAAAGTAGTATTCACAAAAGTTCAAACTTAAAAGGAAATTGCATGTTTAAAATAAATTCGTAAATGAATTCATGTTATTTGTTAATTGATAAATGTTTTTATTTTATTTGTGATTTAAAATATGACTTTATTTAGTAAATTTTTTAGTTTTATATTATGTATTTGCATATAATTTATTTTTTATTAGGATAAACCATTTTATGTAATCATGACAAGTAAAAAATAGCTAGGCCGTTAATTTAAATTTGAAAATTATGAGTTTTTTTTTTTTTTTTTTTAAATATCATATTAATATTGTATAAAATGTCTTATATCACCCAACAATATATAAGTGCATATATTTTAATTATCAAAGTTTATTAAGCTCAATTAATTATGTACGTACATTAGTTGATTGACGCTTTAATTAAAATTTTAACACTCTTGTATTAACTCCCTCGAAAGAAAGGGTCGTTCTCTCTATTCGAGTAAAGTCTTGCTGCCGGTTTTGCCGGCCGTTTTTTGCTTTTCAATTAGAATCTTGATCGTGATTTGTTACCTATTAGAATGGTTGATGAAATTGTTGATAGGTATGCCCATCTCCGACTCGATGAAGAGGAGGGGAGTGTTGTTGATTTGGGGGTAATTGACTCTACCCAATTTCAGGAAAAATTTGACCTAATGCTTGTAGGGAGAATCATTACGGATAGACCATTCAACGTGGAGGCCTTCAAGAGTACCATGACCAAGGTATGAAATTTATCGGACAAACTCATAATTAAGGTTCTTAGTCCCAATCTATTTGCTTTTCAATTTTTTAATTGGAGAGACAAAGAGAAAGTTTTGCAAGGTAGACCTTGGTGCTTTGATTACATGTTGCTCGTACTACAAGAAGTGGCTGGAGATGAATTATAAGAGAAAATTCCTTTGCTTCATTGCCCTCTATGGGTTAGGATTAAAAACTTACCCCTGAATTGTCGAACTGATGACGATGTGAAGGAAATTGTAAGTAGTCTGGGGGATATTATGGAAATTGAAGAAGATCTTTTGGGTCTTGATCGATTTCGCGGAGTGAAGATCATGATGAACATATCTAAACCGCTGCGCAGAGTTCAGAAAATCCGAGATAAGGGTGGGAATGTGGTGATGGTGGAATTTGCCTATAAGAGGTTTCCTTTTTTCTGCTATGCGTGTGGTGTGATCGGTCACTCAGAATGGGATTGTGTGATGGTGTCTGAGGAGAGTAAGAAAGCTAAGTTAGGATGGGGTAGGTGGCTAAAGGCGTCGCCAAGGAAGGGTAGAATGAAGGAGGTGGAAGAGAGGGAGGAGGTGCTAGTGGCTACAAAACAACTCTTTATTACTAGAGTGGCTAATGAGGGAAGTGAGCAGGGAAGCGTGGAGGGGGAATGTGCGTTAAAGGGAGGAGAAGTAGAAAGTTCCAAGAGTAAAAATGATGAGGGGTGCTGAATTTTGTTCCTAAGAAGGTGAGTGGGAATGTGGGGTATGTGGAGTGCAATGATGGGGGGTTGATGTTGCTTTGAGGGAGAGGGTAAGTAAGATGGATTTAAATGCTCAAACAAAGGGAGGTACTTGCGAGCAGGTAGCACTTTTAAGTGGGGTTGATGCATGTGGGGGCCGAAAGAATATTGTAGGAAAACAATCTCACTATATTTTTTCTACTGGGGAGGGCAGTAAGGAGAAAAAGCATTCAGGGAAGAGGTGGAAAAAGTTTAACAGGGATAAGGGAGTTGTTGGGGAGGGTGTGATGGAGGTTGAGATGGATAGTGGATTAGGTAAGAGGATAAGGAATGTTTGTGATGGGGAGGCTGAGGAGCTTAGGTTGTGTAAGAAGAGTAATGTGAATGCAGTTGCTAGCGGATGGCGAGTGGCGGAGGCTGTCGATGAGCAGCCCCGCCAAGCCCAATGCGTATTTTAGTCTTAACTATAGAGGGTTGGGCAACCCCTCTGCAGTTACTGGCCTTCGGGGTCTTATTCGAAGGGAGGCCCCATCTGTGATTTTTTTATTAGAGACGAAATTGAGCAGTGTCGAGTTTGTTAAGGTTCGAGATAGACTTGGTATTTTGAAGGGATTGCGGTGGTAGCTATGGGGAGGTCGGGAGGTGTTGCGTTACTTTGGATGAGGGGGATTGATATTTCTTTAAAGACTATGTCGGTTCACTATATTGATGCGGATGTTGTTAGTGGTTTTGGAGAGGAACCTTGGAGGTTGACGGGCTTTTATGGGTGGCCGGAGGTGGGTAATAGACATCTCTTGTGGAGCTTATTAAGGGATTTGGTGACTCAATCTAGCTTGCCATGGGTGTGCATTGGGGATTTTAATAAGATCATGTTCCTGTCGGAGAAAAATGGAGGGAATGATAGAGTTGCGTGGCAAATGGAGAATTTTAGAGATGCGGCGGATTTTTGTGGCTTGAGAAATCTTTGTTTTTAGGATATGCCTTCACATATGACAATGGTAGAGAGGAACATGAAAAATACACAATGCCGCCTTGATAGAGCTTTGGTGACTGATGATTGGTTTACTATGTTTCCAGATGCAAATGTGGTTCACTTAGATAGAGATTGGTCTGATCATGCCCCAATTAAACTTGTCATGTGGAACAAAAATAATGACAGATTGTATGATAAACCGTTTCGGTTTGAGCAAATCTGGCAAACTGATGAGGGGTGTGAGAGTGTTATTGAAGGAGCGTGGAATGGTGGTTATTCTCTAGAGTCGAAGCTGCTGGGCTGTGCGGAGGGTTTAAAGGCGTGGAGTTGTGAGAAGTTCGGTGCTACATTTAGAGAACTAAGGAAAAATAGGAAAAAGTTACAGAAGTTTAATAAAGGGAACCTCACGGCTGCACAATTAGAGCAACAGAGAGCTTTAGTGCGTGATATTTCGGAGCTCGTGAACTAGGAGGAAGTGTACTGGAGACAACGTTCGCGGGTTCTTTGGCTCTTGGAGGGTGACAAAAGTACAAAAAAATTTCATCAGAGAGCATCCAGTACAAAGAGGAAAAATACAATCCGAAGCTTGAAAGATTACAATGAGACAATCCACTTGGGGTCTAAGGCTGTGGGGAAAGTTGCAGTTGATTATTTTTTACAACTCTTTACCTCGTCACACCCGTCTATGATTGAGCAGGCTTTACAGAATTTTCAGAGTCGGGTTACAAGGGAGATGAATGACATTTTGAGTGCAGAATATTCAGCGGAAGAGGTGAAAGCTGCTTTGAAACAGATGCATCCTATTAAAGCTCCGGGCCCGAATGGTATGAGTTCGCTTTTTTCCAATCATACTGGCATATCGTTGGTCCGTCGGTCTCTAGCTTTGTCTTATCAATTCTGAGATGTGCTCCCATTCCTTCTTTTCTGAACAAAACTTTTATTGCTTTGATTCCGAAAAAGAATAATGTGGATCGTATGAGCGATTTTAGGCCTATTTCTTTGTGTAATGTGATCTATAAGTTGGTTTTGAAAGTTTTGGCTAACAGACTGAAAGTGTTCTTGGATAAAATTATCTCAATTAATCAGAGTGCGTTTACTCCGGAGAGACTGATTACTGATAACATTTTAGTCGCTTTGGAAATTTTCCATCATATGAAGAATTCGAATAGTAAGGAAGGGAGTATGGCCTTAAAATTAGATATGTCGAAAGCATACGATCGTATTGAATGGGATTTTTTAGAGGCGGTTCTTAATAGGTTTGGTTTTGTTCAGAGTTGGAGTAGAGCTGTTATGGATTATGTTCGGTCTGTGAATTTCTGGTGAATAGGAAGCCTACGGATGAGTTTACTCTGCAGAGAGGTATTCGCCAGGGAGCTCCTATTTCTCCCTATTTATTTATTTGTGTGCGGAGGTGTTTTCTCACTTTCTTTGGAGTGCGGAGGAGAAAGGCAGTCTACAGGGTATTTAAATTGCTCCTTCAACCCCTTCCGTGAATCATCTTCTGTTTGTTGACGATTACATTATTTTTTCGAAGCCTGGGACGGATAATGTAGATGTGATTAAAGGCATTTTAGAAACTTATGAGCTGTCGTCGGGCCAGAAAATAAATTTTGACAAGACAATGGTTACTTTTAGTAAAGGGGTTCGAGATGAGAAGAGGGGTGAATTAGCGGACAAATTTGGGGTTAGAGAGGTGGATGTTCATGATCTCTATCTAGGCCTTCCTACTGTTGTCGGGAGATCGAAAAAGGTGATCACGAGGGGTGTGAAAGAAAAGTTGTGGAAGAAAATGCAGGGTTGGAAAGGGATGGTACTATCTGAGGTGGGTATGGAGGTTATGATAAAGGCAGTGGCCCAATATCTCCCTAGTTATGCGAAGAGTGTGTTTAAGTTTCCATCCTCTTTTTGTGATGAGATGAGATCGGTTGTGGATCAGTTTTGGTGGGGCAAAAACAAGGTGAACGCAAAATTCATTGGCTTGCTTGGAAGAAGTTGTGCCGCTCGAAGAAGGATGGAGGGTTGGTTTTAGAGATTTTAATTGTTTAATTGGGCTCTCCTCGGAAAGCAGGCATGGAGACTACTTGTGCGTCCGGGTAGTTTAATTGAGCAACTGTACAAGGCTCGGTATTATCCTCATTCGAATTTTATGGATGCTAATCTTGGCTCTAATCCGAGCTATACTTGGAGGGGACTATGGGAAGCTAGGTGGGTGGTTCGGAGAAGGGTTAGATGGCGTGTTGGTAATGGGGAGAGCATTCGAGTCTAGTCGGACCCTTGGATTCCTGGAACGCAAACACACAAAATTCTTTCTCCTTGGGGCAATGCTAATTGTGAGCTTTTGGTAAGTGACCTTATTTACGCTTCGACTCAATCTTGGAAGTTGGATGTTGTCAACCAGTTATTTTTCCCCTTTCAAAAAGATAGGATCCTAAGTATTCCTATAAGAGGTCGATTGCCCATTGATCGGCTTTGTTGGGATATTGAGAAAAATGGTGAGTATTCGGTGAAGTCGGCTTACAGAGCATTGTTTGATGATGATTGGAAGAGTGAGGAAGAGGCCTCGTCACCTGGTCATTCATTGTAGGGTAAGGTGTGGAATTTAAAGGTTCTACCTCGAATTAAAATTTTTGCGTGGAGGTCGTTGCAAAATGTGATCCCGACGCGAGCTGGAGTTAATCGACGGATACATGATTATGATCCTACCTGCTGTATCTGTAACAAGGAGGAAGAATCTACATTACACGCTTCGAAGGATTGTACCTTGGCGCGGGCAATTTGGTGTAGAAGCGACTTTGTTGAACTGGTGGAATGTGTGTGCTGTAATCTGCTGGACTGGTGGAGTTGGTGTTTTGAGAAGCTAAGTTATGAAGAAATTGAGCAATTTATTACTTTATGTTAGGCTATTTGGGGTGCCAGAAATAGGTGGATCATGGAGGGTGAGGGTCTGCATCTTGTCAAGATCGTGGCTTATGCTATGAGAACTTACGGAGAGGTACACGAAGAGTCTGGTAAGAGTGTAATGGGGGGGGGGGGTGGGGCGAGTAGTACTTTTCCAGTACATTGGGCGCCCCCTGTCAGCCTTTCTAGATGCTGAACGTTGATGCAAGGGTGTGAGGTAGTGTGGGTTCGGGGTTGGGAGCTATTATCAGGGACGATATGGGGGTGGTCAGGTGTTGCGATGTTTCTCAGGGCCTTAAAGCGTGGGATCCCAAAATAGCAGAGGCTAAGGCAATTTTTTGGGGTATGAAGCTGGCGGTGGAAGAAGGTGTTACTAGCAGCGACTATTTGAGTGTCATTGAAGCTCTGTGTACCGATGGCTTTAGTTCCTTTCATTTAATAGTGGAAGATATTATAGATTTATGTTCTAGCTTTGATAACATTGTGTGGTCTTTTGTTAAACGGAACGGGAATAAAGTAGCTCACGGGTTAGCCCACTTTCAACCTTGGGAAGTTGGGCAACGAGTGTGGAAGGATGTTATCCCGAATCGTATTTTGGATGTAGCTTCAAATGATTTATTAATCTAGTCCCCAGTTGAGGGTTTCTTTAAAAAAAAATTATGTACATACATACATTATATTTTTTTTAATATCATAATCAACTAATTAACAAATCACTTATTGCTTACAGATTTAGGGCTTGCATGCGGTTGTTAGCGGTTTTTGTGATGAATTGAAGAATCGTTAACATTTGGAAAAATTGCAAGGAAGGTCCTTTTAAGTGGTCGACCTTGTAAATAGCAGAGGCTAAGACAATTTTTTGGGGTATGAAGCTGGCGGTGGAAGAAGGTGTTACTAGCCTAGTGGTGGAGAACGACTATTTGAGTGTCATTGAAGCTCTGTGTACCAAGTCTGATGGCTTTAGTTCCTTTCATTAATAGTGGAAGATATTATAGATTTATGTTCTAGCTTTAATAACATGGTGTGGTCTTTTGTTAAACGGAACGGGAATAAAGTAGCTCACGGGTTAGCCCACTTTCAACCTTGGGAAGTTGGGCAACGAGTGTGGAAGGATGTAATCCCGAATCGTATTTTGGATGTAGCTTCAAATGATTTATTAATCTAGTCCCCAGTTGAGGGTTTCTTCAAAAAAAATTATGTACATACATACATTATATTTTTTTTAATATCATAATCAACTAATTAACAAATCACTTATTACTTACAGATTTAGGGGCTTGCATGCGGTTGTTAGCGGTTTTTATGATGAATTGAAGAATCGTTAACATTTGGAAAAATTGCAAGGAAACCACTACATACAGATAATCCCTAAAAATGGTGATTTAATACAGACCAAGGCATGTATGATGATCAGAGGAGTCGTCGGTCAATGGTTGAGGCATTTGCCAAAGAAAAAAGCTTGTTGTTCTTCATAGTTCAGAGAGTTTGCACTTTGCAGCCTCAATGATTGAGTCATGAGTGGAAACTAACAAAAGCATGAGCCCAACAAATTAAATCACGAATTTGTTGAGATTTCTTGCAGACTCTTATTGTATATATGCATCCCTTTTCAAGTTTGGCTAACTCTTGCCTAAATGCAGAATTAAAAATCCTACCCATTGATAATCTGGTATAAGTTTTTACCTTTTTTAAATCAGGAAAATTAAACCCTCAAAATCACAGTCTATTCCTAACTCAACAAATTAAATCCTCTGTTTGGATTCCACACTCACAATAGACCTAATGAGAAGACATTATACCCTGCAATTGAATTCAATTCAATAAGGGATATACTCAAAATCAATGTAATTAGCAACCTACAAACTCAATTAACTGAAACTAATTACATCAACAAACGCCTAAATTCAATTAACACATGAACCCTAGATTGTGAACATGGGCACTTGGCTATCATGGTGATTGTATTGTACCATGGCTTGCGGCCAGGAATTCGTGACTGGTGTGTCGATTCGGGTTGCCGACGGGTTATTATCAGAGAATACGAAGGAGGGAAGGAGAGAATTTGCTTCGGATTTTAGATGTGGAGGGAACCGTACTTTGCAACTTCGCCATTAATGGTGGGTTCAAGGGAGATAAGGGAGGGAAATCGTAAAGGAAAAGGGGAAATTGAGGAAGAAGAAGGAAAGGGAAAAAAAGAAAAAAAAATCTGATTTAAGTGGTCACGTGCACAGCACGTGACTTTTTTTGGTCGGAAAACGGAGGTCAACGCCGGAGATTGGTCAAAAGACCCTACTCACAACCCAATCGTCGTAAAAGGACCTTCTGTGCCACCTTTTTTTTAAAAGGACCTTTCTCACAAGGTCGACCACTTAAAATGACCTTCCTTGCAATTTTTCCTTAACATTTTTGTGTAAGTTTGATCTTGCGGATCAAGTTCATGAAACTAAAAGATCAAATATTTTAGGGAAACTCCCAGTTCCAAAATATTTTGATCACTTAATTCATTTGAAAGTTTGAAAAAAGCCAAATATTTGATAGGGAATACACAAATCTGTAAAAATTCAAAATTAATTTATAAATATCAACAATATGTACTAAACATATTTGAACCAAAAAAAAAATGCAAACTTACAGTCTTCTTGTTCTACGTCATCTGGGACGGGAGATTCGACATCGGCAGACCAAATATTAAGCCCAAATGCCCTTACCTACCCCAATAAGTCTTACATGCACCCTGGTGCATAGCTGCACCACGCCCTGTAATATGAACATTTAGTAAAAAAAAATATGAACACATAAAAAAAAAAGGAACAATCAGTAATAAAAAAAATGAACATGTAAAAACAAAATGAACATTTATTGTTAAAAAGTGAACGTGTGTTAAAAAAAATGATTATTCAGTATATTAAAAGTGAACATAATTATCATATAATCATAAAATTGATGGACCACGACCTTAAAAATGAACATTTAGTAAAAAAAATTGAAGACGTAAAAAATAAAATGATCATTTAGTAATACAAAAATGAACACGTAAAAAAATGAATATTTAGTAATAAAAAATGAACATGTCAAAAAAAAAATGAACATTTAGTATAGTAAAAATGAACATTTATCACACAATCATAGAATAGTTGAACCATACCTAATAAAATGAACATTTCATAAAAAATATATGAATACATTACATAAAATGAACATTTAGTACAAAAAATAAACACATAAACAAATGAACACGTTTAAAAAAATTATGAACGTTTAGTATATTAAAAATGAGCATGATTTTAATATATTCATATAGGTTCAAATTTATTGTATATAATAATCAACAAAAAATAAAGATAAAATATATCGTTAAATTATGCTCATTTTTTTTATATACTAATGTTTATTTTTAGTGTATTAAATGTTCATTTTGTACAAAATGTTCAATTTTAAAGTACTGTATGTTCATATATTTTTATATTTACAGAACACAAATTCAATTGTAATTATTTTAAGGAAAATTTGCAAATTACCACCCACAAAGTATACCAATTTTGATATAACCACCCAAAAAAAAAAAATTTGTAAAATACCACCCACTAATTTAAAAAAACACTCAGATGACCACCCAATTTGAATTTCCGGTGAAATTTTAGATTGTGGACCCCACCCAATTTATTTCCCTCCGTTTTTTTTTTCTTTGTAGCTCGAGTTCACTCTATGTTCATGCAATTGCAATCATCTTGACCCTTTCTTCTTGATTTTCTTCTAAAATTCTCAACGAAATCCTCCAAAAATTTCTGAATCATTGTCTTTTCTCCCTTTATTTTGATTACATTATCAACAAGTCTACGAAAACAAACCCTAATTTTTCCAATAAAAACTGAGTTTGTGCTTGTTCTGTAACCTGGGTTATTGCGAATGGTGCATTGCGCAAATTGGACAATTTGGGTGTGTTTGGTGAAGATCACTTGCTTAATTCAGTAACAATGGAGTCGACAGAGGTAAGCTATTTAGTTGAAATACTTTAATTTGGACAGTTGTAGGTTGTTGATGGTATAATTGCAATTATGTTGAAAGTTAGGGTTCATTGTTTGCCTGATTGAATTATTTAATGTAGGTCAATTATTCTGTAGTTATTGTTGAATTGTGTAAGTATGTGGGTAGGACAGTGAATTAGGGGATTTATTTATTGCTGCTATGTACCACAACCCACTGCTTTGCTTTTGTTACTGCTACTTTGTCTTGTGGTGGTTTGTTTATTGCTGCATTGTATATTGTTGCATTGTTGATTGTTGCTGTGTTTAATGTTGGTTAATTATATGCACAGCTTGCTGGTGATGTTGAATTAGTAGATGTTAAGGTTAGATTAGGGGGTGTGTTTGTGAACAAACCACTAAGGGGTAAGAGTTTGTGTGGTTATGAGGGTGGGTGGGATTTTTGGAGGTATAAGTGCAGAGTGAGTGAGTTGTCAGTGGACTTCCTTAGGGAATCTTGCATTTGGGGGTTTGTGAAGTTTGATTTGTTTGTCCCAAGCAAGTGGAGGATGTGGTATAAAGAAAAGGGGAAGACTTGGTCAAATGGCAAAAAAGAAATTCTGAGTGATGATGATGTGAAGGGCTTTTTGGAGACAAAGAATAAGAGTGGCTTTGCTATAGTGTATTGTACTGAGCAAGTACCCAAGGTAGTTCAGCCCACCCA